AGGATTTCAAAGCTACCTTTAATCTTCCTACAATTGTCATGCAAGTTTGGCCACTTACCAGCCAGTTCAGAGTAGTTCTCTAGGCTCACTGTTCTGACAAGGGGACCCCATTTTTATTGCTGCCTGTTAGAAGTAGCCGAAGGAAATGAGACAAGACAGCCTAGATAGAACAGTGAATCAATAGAAATATGGTCATCATTTGTTCAGTATGCAGAGAGAGTATATTTATCTGCAAAAAAAGTATGCATGTTGATTTTTTTCCTATTAATTCTTGATAGACATGTCTGTCTGATAAGTGTAAGGAAAGTCATCCTTTCACTCAGTTTAATAAAACCTCAAGAAACAACATGTTCTCAATAACATAAAGACATTCACTTGGTAGTAGAGTAAAAAATTTTCAGATGGAATGACCTGGTGCTTATATGTCTGCACAATGTGTCTGTAAACAAATCTGAAAAGTAAGTTTGCTGCTATAATGCTTATTGGCTTTACATTGGCCAGTATTTACAAAGTAGAATTTTTAAGTATGGTTAACTTGTTAAAACTTCTTAAATAAAGAAAAAGTAAACTACAAAATAAGCAGATGATTGCTGTAAGCTTTAAAAACTATTTATTCAGCTGGTATTTGCCCCTTAGGGACAATATCAGTATTAGAACACTGGAATAAAATAGAACTCTTTAATACAGTTCATTATTGTAGAAGGCTATGACTAACTAATCCATCCTCCCACTGGCCCCTAAGTGCATCTCTCAACTAGTGAACTCTCTGGTCCTAAAGCCTCCTAATACACTTTTTATTTCTGATGTCACTTTCCCACCCTCCACGCACAAAAGATGGCATGTTTCATTGCACCAACAAAGACTTTATTTTTGCTGATGCCTTTTGCTATTGGCAAGTGCTTAAAGATAGTTTACTTAACATAATAAACAAACTATATTTGCTGTCCTTCCTGTAATTTCAGTTTGTTGCCATAGAGGGGTTGTACAGTGTTTGTAGTTAATAAAGTCAGACTTTGTTCTTTGCCAGTGATAGACTATATTCTGAAATGTATGCACTCACTTTTTTATAGTAAAGGTATGTTCACAGAACTTAGAGCATTTTAAAACAACAAGGTCTTTCAAATAAAGTGAAGAGGAATTAAAGTCTGTATGTCATCATATCTTGGATGTATCACAGCATTGCAAAGATCATGCATTTTTTTTGCCTGTACCAGTAATTCCCTACTATTTGTCCTGTTAATTTCTTTTAAAGCCACTATAGCATCGACAGAATTGTATGACAAGTCATATGCCGAGAATATCTTGACAAATGTAGAAGTCATTATAGTAACCAGCTCCTTGCAGGACTTATGAAAAAGAAAAGTAATCATACTGAGGCAACCAGGCAGACCTAAATAATTAGCTGGCCAACCACTTGTTTGGGCAAAGGTGCTGGCAAAAACCTCATCATAATTTCTTGTGCAGTTTTTTTCAACTAAGTTGGGTCTGAAGTAGTATTATGCATTGCTAAGATGTCTCTCTATACAGCTTACAAACTCAGTAAAATCAGACATCCAGACAGATGAAGACAAAAAATATGTTTGCTGTAGTCTTTGCCAGTAGCCAACTGTTTGTCAGTAAATACCTACTATAGGCTAAAAAGGATGAAATTACTTTTAATATGATGGCAACATCTAATGCAAGATGTTGTCTTCTACCTCTAAATAAACTGAATATGAATTGACTTGACAGCATGTATCATGAAACACATTATGGTCTGGAGACTGGATGTCATCCTAACAACCAGACGAGATTTTCTTAATTAAGTATAACTTTTTCCTACGTGATCATGAGAAGCTTCTGCAAACTCTGGTGATTTATTAATCTGGAAAATGCATGTAATTCTCTGCTCTAGGTAAGCGTCAATTTCAAACATGTTAAGCTGCCTTAGGAAAGCTGCAAATACTTGATTTCTTTTCCCAACTTTTTTTCTAACCTATTAAATTATATATATTTAGGGACTAGGATATTTATTTTTTCAATTTAAAAATAATATATTTGCTATCTCTGAGCAATGTTTTTGTCCCTGATGTATTTTCTCTCCAGTCCATATTTTTTTAAATAGTTTATTTGCAATACTTGTCTTGCTTACTTAGTTGCTGAAAGACATTTACCATCAGATTTTTCTGCTGCGTGTCTGGCACTTGTGTTTGCTACACTAAATCATAAGACTTCCTTCACTGCTGCCCCTTCTTCATTTCCAGGTTCCTAAATTTATACACAGGAATAGCTATCAGTCTGTCACATCTGTATCACTGCAAGTTCCTCCAACCATACCTTTGCAATAAGCATTTTTCCAAAAAAAGGCTTGGTATTTTAAGGCTTTGGGACATCCTACATTAATTGCAGCCACTATTGCTGGCAGCGTGATGCTGCATGAAGCTGTGATGAATGTGTGACTTTCTGCTTACTACATCACACAAAGAATCATAGAATAGTTTTGGTTGAAAGGGCCCTTTAAATGTCTTCTCGTCCAACCCTGCTGCAATGATATGTCTCCTCTCTGGCTGCTGCAGTGGGTGGTCCAACCGCCCTGCTCAAGAAGGGTCATCCTAGAGCACATTGTCAGCATTGCATCCAGAAGGTTCTTAAATATGTCCAGTGAGGGAGACTCCACAACCTCTATGAGCAATCTGTTCCAGTGCTCAGTAAAGAAATTCTTCCTCATATTCAGGTGGAACTTCCTGTGCATCACTTTCTTCCCATTGTCTTTTGTCTTATTGCTTGGCACCACCGAGAGGAGCCTGGCTCCATCCTTTTGACACCCTCCTTTCAGATGCTTGTATACATTGATGCCCTCTGATCATCTTTATGGCTCTCCTCTAGACCCTCTCAAACAGGTCCACATTCTCCTCATATTCGGGCCCCCAGAGCTGGACACGTTTCTCCAGGCAGGGTCTCACAAAAGCAGAGAAGGGGAGAATCACCTTCCTCGACATCACAAGTGGGAGTTCAACTTGTCTGTCATGGAGAGCCCTGAGGCAATTCTCCATGTCTGAGCTGAAGGACCAAACTGCCCGTAGAGGGAACTGAGAGCTGTTTATCATTTGACAAATTTAGTTTGAGCGCTTATGGTTTGGTACAGTAAAATTATGATCATTCTGATCATAAAGCTTATGATTCCTGCAATCAAAAAGTGCAGGTGAAGTCCAAACCCTAAGACCCCGTCTGGCTGCATGGTATCCCAGGCCACTGATTTTGAATACATAGGAAGAACATCATTCTCCTTGGGCACGATGGTTTTTCAGACTCTTGCACTGATTCTGCTGTGCAGGGACTGCTGAATGGGTGTATGCCCACAGATCTGCTTTTAGACTGTTTAAGCAAAGGGGAAGACTTCACTGTGGTAGTTCATTAAATGAGTTAATCAATAAATTAATCTATGTAAATCAGTGCAAATTAATCTACCCAAGAAAGCAGCAAAAGTGTTTGCAAGTATTGCAGGTTTGATACGTGCACACTGATCAGCTTGTTTTATAAGCCTTTATTTGGAATCATGACAGATACTCTGTGGAGGCTAGCTTCTGTAATTTGCCAAATTTCTCTAGGGACTCTTGTCAATGCAAGAAATGTAATCTACTATGGGACATAAAACAAGCGTATATATGTTTCATATGCTGAGGATATTACAAGGACATGCAAGTAGTGAGTTCACAGAGACTGGAGAGACTATGCTTCTCAGATAGGATGTGCATAGAAAAAGTATTGCTGGAAGATGAGAAAAAATTCAGTTGGTATTTCCCCGGAATTTTTTTTTTATTTTATTTTTTTTTATTTGTTACTGAAAATTTGAAATCTTTAGCTTCTTATCAGATCCATGGCAATGCAGTAACATAGCTCTACGTAAATGTGAGACAGACACTTAAGAACAGGTGTGCTGTGGGTTTTGGAACTAGTTTGTTTTAAATTCCAGTTTATAGGTGGATTTAGTCAATAATCTCAAAGGAAAAAAGAAATCAATTATTTTTAACAGATGCATTAATCTACATTTTCCACACTTTGTAGTGTAATGTGATTGTGCAAATTGTGATGTGTGCATGCAAACATGTATATGCACTAAGTAAAGCTATTATTTCATATGAAGAAATAGCTGGAAATACCTCCCTATTTCACTATCTGCACGAAAAAGAGCAGACCACTGTTTCTGACTGACTTCCTCTAACCAACACAGGAAATAGCATTGTATCCCATAGAACTGAAGAGAATCAACACTTCACTAAGGCATGAAGTTGCCAACATGGGGTCTTGGGGAGAGGGAGGGCAAAAACCAAGGAATATGAATGGCAAAGAAGTTCTCTCTCCAAAGCTTCTCTGGAATGTCTTTTGTTTCATTTTTTATTCAAAGTCTTGTTTTTGCTTTAGTTCATATGCTCTTTTTTGTTAATGTCTTTGTTTTTCATGCAGAGACGAAAAATGCTTTTAAACATTGTTTATGTGTTTTAAATGGGTATCACTGCCAAACTCACTTGTCAATAGCTGGTCTTACTTAATCAGCTATAAAATGTCATGAGTAAGGGTTCTTAATTGTGACTGGAAAAATCCAAGATAATTACCATAATAGGTTGAAGATCTCTGAGACTGAAGGTTTTAGAAAATTGGGGACATATGTGTTCTGTCTGTAAGATTGTTCTATATAGGATATGGAAAAATGGAAATGACAGGCGTTTTGCAATGTACAGTAGCATTCATCCTAGAAAGAACATATGCATTTGTTTGTCAGAAGCAATAAAGTAAAAAATGACACTTAATTGGAACTGACATAGAATGGCCTCATTAGCAGTACAAATAATATATGTGTGTAGCTTGGTTGTCAATAGGAACAAAACATATTTCCTCTGACAGATATATTAGTCTCTTTAAGATTCATGTCAAGTTTTCAGTCAGGTTCACTCATTCAGAGAATGCTGCCTTTTTTTTTTTTTAAAGTGAGAGGTTGAAGTGTAAATAATGTGTGTTTCTAGGGTGCTGTGATAACACCAACAATGGACCACACTATGTCAATGCAGCCAGCAAGCATGATGGGCCCTCTGACCCAGCAGATGAACCACCTTTCCTTGGGCACAACAGGAACGGTAAGATCATAGATTACACTATTTGCTTTCTATATTGCAAAACATGTATTGCTTACTGAGTTTCTTAAGGTAATTTTTTACTCCTGGGTTTTCAGTGCTTCACCATCATAGAGTCAGCATTAGGTATTACAGAACAGAAATGACAAAGTAGTATGAGTAGTAAAATACCAGGTCAACAAAATCTGCTCTGTACTTAGCAGGAATTTTCTGTACTAATTCTCATGTAATTATGGAATTACTGCTCTGTCAATTTGGATTTTAATATGAAATTATTTGCTTGTCAATCTAAAAAGTTTTATACTGCTGGGAGAAAGGAGTTCTGGCATTTTGGTAGGATCCACTACTCACTTCTAAACCATAACAACCAACCATACACATTTTGTTCCAGGCTTAGAAATGTGATTTTTGATGATGGCCAGCTGTGTTGCCAGTATATCATATTTAAATATGTATATTTCAACAATTTTTTTTTTAAGCTGTGTAAATCAGACTCAATTAACTCTCCCAGAGTCAGAGAAAGGCAAAAAATACTCTTACTTAAAATTATTGAAGCTCTCTAAAGGTTCCTAATATACAACAACTACAGACAATATATGGTGGTTTGATATGTGAATGTGTGCATGCTGCATGTACAGGTAAATTTTTGCGAAAATACAGGCATAAATATTACACTTCTATGTCTTTAGCACACACACTCTTTACACAATAATTACATGAAAGATCTGTTATGCACTTACAAATGTTTTTCTATTTCACCACTGTACTACTTGATACTAATCTATAAAACCAGAGTTTTCTAACTTTTTTTAAATTGAATAACTTTCTGAATAACATCACATCTGTACAAAGTTATTTAACTCACTTAGGTCTTCACTTCCTCATCCTCTTCCCTTCACCTCCTTTTTCCTTATCTGTCGAATGTAATTCTAACTCCAATGTCTTTTCACACTTCCTTAAAAAAATTCTGTTGAGATCTAAGACTTCTGTATTCATTTCTGCCAAAACTTAAGTAAGATAGCTTATTGTTTATTCCTGTTATTTTAAATGTTTCATTCAACAATCAAAAGAACTAAGAATTACATTTCAAAGTTAATCTAAGTAATTTTCCCTTAATGAAATGGAAGAAATACTAGGACTAGTGAGAATTTCTGCATGTGTAATTATTGTGGTTCAAAAGTGTGTTTAAAAATTAAAGGAAGGAAATGGAAAATGAATTCTGGTTGTGCTGTTGGGCAGCTCCTGTGAATTTTTTCTTCTGTCTGTCGTTTTCAATTCCATAACTCTTAACAGACATTGTCTTCTGCACACATTGTCTCACAACCTTAATACAAACTAGAAAAATCCCAGCTAATTCTCTCTTCTGACTAGAGACCACTATTACAGTGCTTATAGGAACAAACCCATTTGGGGAGTCAGGGGAAGGACTGAAATGTAATGGGTCCTCTAGTAGGTGATAATAATATCCTGAATTTATGTTACTGCAACTGAAAGAAAATCTTTCATTTCTTTTCCTAACTCTTTACGCATTCTTATCTTTCAAGGTCACAGCATTCCCTATGCTAACTTCTTGAAATCCATTTAGAGGGATACCATGCAGATTTATGTTTTCTGTCTTTAAAACTCCTAATTTGTTCACAGAAAACTTAAAGAGCAAGGAAGAGTGAATGCTACAATATCCATAGGCTTTCCATGCATCTCAAATGACACCCTACTTTACCACACACCAGATTTCTCTTTGATAAAAACACCATCAGTACCATATTCAGTCAAACTACTTGTGCAAGCAGGATAATCATGGAGGTCATCGAGAATTCCTCCTTTTCAAAATTCCTCCTATCAGAAATTATAGGAAAACTTCAGGATTTGGGCTGCCAGTAGCAGTTTTGTTGGATGTATCCATCCTGACTTGAAATTCATTCTTCCTAATGTATTCTGTTACAGAAAAAAAATTGTGATGAACAAAACATATTTAGAGATATAATTTATTTAGAGATAGTTTTACTTCATTTTTTTGGAATTATGAATTTTGGTCAAGAGAGAGGAGCATTGAAAGCATAAAGCATGAAGAATTGTGTCAAGTCCAAATCATGCTACTGTGACTACCTCGGCAGGACTAAGTTTTATGGGAGATATAAGACGTAAACGATACATTTCTGTTCTGAATATACTTTTAAATTCTATTCTTAAAACTGTGCAACAGGGTGCCATAAAGGGCCACCAGCTATCTTTCAAGAAACAGCCAGATTTTTTAGGCAGACAAGGCGAAAAGTCACAAACAATTCTGCTCAGTGTTGGCTGTAACTCTGTCCCAATTTAATTTAAAAGCTTGCAGTATGCAAAGTAGTTTTTATTAAAAGGCTTTCATATGTTCACCTCCTTAGACAAAGCATTTTGCTAATCAACATAATATATTTTTCAGCTGAAACAGACCCCTGTGGTCGCTTAAGTGAGAGTTGGCTCCAAAACCACTTCCACACTTGCCCAATTCAGGATGAACACTGGGTTTCTAAAACATTGCTTCAACAGAAAATCTATTCTCTAGTGAGTGAGCTAGAGAAATAGCATAAAGGCATATACAGCTTTGTATCTCGTGGGAATTACTCTGCCTTTTGATGCTTTCTGAAAGATTAAAATACTCTGTCCAGGCTGGAGCCATTTCAGATGGGAGACCCTTTACGGAGGAGCACTCTTTAGCCCTCTGGTGAGGCAAGTGACTCAAGTAACAGCAGCCTCTGCCAACTCCTACCTTGACACCAAAACTGGATTTGAGTTTTGATCTCTCAGCCCCAAAGCACATGTTAAAACCCATGGGAATTCAGGGGGCAGCTGCCTTCATCCACTTGATCATATAGTCACCTGCCCAGGGCAGGCATTTCTGGCTTAACACTGGCAGGGCTGTTCACTTCCAGCTGGGAGCATGCAATTCAGCAGTCAAAACAGAGTAGTTTTCCTCTAGACCCACTCATAGCCAGCTGCATCTTCCTTGTGCTAGGGAAAGCCTTCCCCAAAAAGCACAAATAGTTTTGTTTAGGAAACCATTTTCCATGAATAGGGACAAGTTTCCTTTCTCCCTAAAACTTCGAAAGAATGCATATTTAATTTTATTTTACTATATTTTTAAACATTATTTGTTATCTATTATTGCATTGTCAGCATAAAATTAGACATCTCTGCTATATTAAACACTCCTTCATCAAGAGGATACACTAAGGCTATCAAGCCACCCAGCCAAGTGAAAAGCTGCAAATCCATCTTTGCTTGCTTTCACTGCCAAAGGATGGTATAGGGCACTGGAGGAAAAGAAGTAAGGGTCTGCCATTTATCGCAACTTGACCCTACATTCCTGTGCTGTGGCAAAATTTTGTACAGCCTTTGTATCTCCCAGTTCTTCCCACCAAGAACATAATTCCTTTCTGCCTTTGTGAAAATCAAATTGATTTCTGCCAGTGAAAATAGAGTTTATGTTACTGATGAATTGAGAGGCAAGTGTTCTGCTCTGATCACTTCCCCAGTCTGCCTGAAATCTGGAGTTAAGCAGACAGTCTGCCAGAGGGACAATTTCTGCCATATTTATATGTATTTTTCATACATACCTCTTCACTCAAAAGAGCAAAAAGCATTTGCATGGTGTGCTGACTGTGGGCAAATATGTAAAGAAAACCTAAACTTAAGTTACATAAAGATTATAGCAAAAAGGCAATAGCTCTGAATATTCTGATTAAGGCTGACAGCCCAGTCTCAGTTCCTACAATTGCATTAAAATAAAATTTTAGTGACAACCCAGTCTCAATTCTTACAATGGCATTAAAATAAAATGTTAGTGACAGAAGGCATAATGTGAAGACAGACAACTGGTTTTAAACTTGAATTTTTTTTTTTTTACGAGTTAGTTATTATTTATTACAGTAAGTCTTGTTTTTCCAATGTAGTATTCATCTACAATTAGGTCTGCTATTAAAAAAGGTACTGCAGAGGGAGAATAGAGTGAGTAGTCTGTAAGGGTAGCACTGAAAGAGCAGCATTAGTATGTGTTTAATAATGTATGGAGGCTGGAATTGTTCCATCATCAGCCTGTCATTCAGAATGTTTCTGATCCATCCATTGATCTGACATCTGTTTTGTGGTTTGATAAAGTTGTGATTGATGCCTGAGTGGATATAATACAGAAGCCTTTAGAAATACAAAAACTGAGCAGTTTGATCACTGCTTTCAGTCCCTGTCGCTCAGCAATTCCACATTTGGCCATAAGCAGCAATAATCTGTTTCTTCAGTGGGAAGAATACTTACCCTTCTCTTTTTCCTCTGCTGCTCATTCCTGAAGGAAGTTTGCTGCTCTGCGCTTTCTTGATCGGGATTTCCCTCCCCTTCCTGCTGTTAGCATCGATTTCAGATACTGCTTGGGTTCCAGTTTCATTCAACAGTCTGAGGCAGCCTTTGTTAGTCCTTATTGGCAGAGGGGTAATTCCAGCTTTTTCTCCTTCTCTTTTGGAACTGCCTCACTGTAGCCTTGTATCATCTTAAATCTTTGAGGCCCACAGCAATGGAAGAGTGAGTAGAAGCCAGGTTTTTTACTAAAACTGCTAGCTTAACAGTGCTGCTTAATTGTTCTTCACGTTTGCAGATGGTTCACTCCGCTTTCAGTTTCTAATTTAGAAATAGGCAACTTATAAAATAAGTTCTCCATTGCACTTTTGAAGCAACAACAACAACAACAAAAAGTGTTTAATTGTTCTAGATACTCTGTATTAAAAATGCAATCAGGTGGAAGAATTGCACTGACATAGTGTGGTATCCTGTTGCTGCTGCAAACTACCCTAACTCAGCTTTCCTGGTTTATAGTATCACCGAAATCTCTCAGTGGAATAACAGGGTTGTTATGCAGGTCCATCAGTCTTATCTTTCACTTTGTTAGTTCTTTTTGTTGCCAGCAAAGCTTGATGATATCTCCAGAACCCTTCAATGGAACAACAAGCTTGTTATAAGTTTTTTATCTTTTATTT